ATATGGAGAGGGCAGGGCACCGTGTCTGGCACACGGGTGTAGCTATGGCTTAGCACAGAAAGAACCTAGGGCATAAGCAGAGGAGGCACTGTCCCAAGCTGGCACTGTTCCAGTTAGGACTGCAGAACCCTGCCTCACTCACAGCCCAAGTGCCCAACTCCTGGCAAATGGGGAGATCCACCCGCACAGGCTGCTGCTCTAGCTGGCTGAGTCCCTTCTAGAAGCAGTAGTACTGGCAAAAGATGGAGCGGGGCTTCTGTGTGGTGTAAGGGCAGTAGGTCCCAGTGGGTAGCCTTAGCCTTCAGAGGGCAAGGTTACCTTGCTCACTTCTCCCGTGGGACATCCGAACCCTGCTGGGCACAGGCCTATGCTGAGCGCTGCTGACGTGGAGGACGCTTGATGGCTGTGGGCCTAAAAGCAACACGTTTAGTTTTAAAGTTGCCTTCTCAACCTCAGTCATCAACTTGGCCCAGCACACTGTGGGGCTCAGAGCACACAGCAAATGGCCTGTTGGGTTTCTGGCAGCCTTCGTGGAAGTAGGCAGTGAGTGGGAATTCAAGGCCATGCAGCCATATTGCTTCCAGGACTAAGTTTGGGGGTCCTCCATGGTGTACAAGCCCAACAAACAACTCCTTTTGTCTACTTTTCAAAGTAGAGGGCTTCTGAGAGGGTTCTGGGAAGCAAGGTCAGGACTCCTGGGTTTTCATAAATCTTTTAATAACAGTGAATGGAGACAACATTGCAACAATAGTCTCAAGGTGAGGGTTTCTTTTCATTCATGAATCTTCAAAAAACAAACATCTGAGACTAAAATCAGAACGCTAAGTACACAAATTAAGGACCATTTATTGCCAAAGGTGACCGCAGAGACCACTTTGGTACAATCAAAAGGTTTTACAAAACAGAGAAAACACATTATAAAACACCCAAAGAGGTGAGCAAACAGGGGAGGAGGAAGTGGGCACAGAGCACCCAAGAACCAGTCTGACAAAGAGGCTCATCTTGCTAGGTAGAGGGGGATTCGAGACTGGTTCTGAAGGGGGCCACTGTGTGTGTGGGGTGAAGAAATGGGAGAGATCAGCCCAGTGTACAGTAATCCCAGCTTGGGAACAAGGAAGGACTCAAGGCAGGAAAGAGGGACAGAGGCATTGCCAATGTCCCAGCAGAAATAATTACACATCGGCCTGATTCTCTTCGTTACAGTTACACCAATGGAAATGAAGAATTCTTTAAAATCAAATACAACATTGACACCAAAAGAAAGCAAGAGTTTCCAAAACAACATCTCTGCTTGAAATGACTTTTGTTTTGTTTGTTTGTTTTTCATGGGGGAAGGTTGTCTTAAGTTTAGTGCCATGACTAGCAAACCAGTGTACAAAAGTGTCCCAGACAAGGGCAACAGTAAGCGACTGGGTTTTCCTGAGCACAAATTGGCCCATTCTATATATGCAAGAGGAAGACTGACTCCTCTCGTGGACTGCTGCCTCATCAAGGGCAAGGCAGCAGCAGGGAGGCCCCTTTCCGGTCTAAGCCCTTGCTCGAAACGGCTGAAAACGAACACCAGAGTCTTGTCTTAGTGCCCACATGGCCCTTTTTCTCCTCCCAGACCTCCCTTACAATAGAAACCATTAAGAAACTCCCTCTTTCAAACAGGATGGGTGACAACAGATCAATGACCATAAACCCAGGCAAGTCTTTTTGGCAGAAGGAGGGGGAGAAAGGGTCCTTTTGCCACCTTCTGAATGCCCAGGTCACCACGCCTGGGGTACTGAATGGCCTCAATTCCAGTGCCCAGAGGCCTGCTGACACCCTGCTATCTGGGGAGTGTGACCACAACACAAAACACTAAAACATCAATGACTACACACATTGAAGCCTACAGCAAAAGATATGGTCTGACAGCCAGGCTGAGCTACTGTACGGTACAGTGTGCAAAGGACCCCACGTGGCCCAATGAGTCTGCAGACAGCCTGTGATGTGCTAAGAAGTCCACAGAAAGAGAGAACGCTGGCGTGGAGAGATGGAGTTTGTGGCTTTAGAATTCTTTGGCGCCCTCACAGGCATGCTATGCCTCTGAGAGGAAAGTGGGCCAGGTCTCAGGTGTACAAAACCAAATACCGGGGGTGAGGAGAACCTTAAGCAGGCATGAAGAGAGTCTCTGCCATGAGTTGGCCACTTCAGAAAACTATTCTCATTGGCCCAGCTCCTTGACCAAGGCTGCCTGGGGCCTTAAGTGAGCGCTCTTTTCCCTTCCTGAGGCTATATGAAAGGAAACTGGCCAATTCTACGAACACCCTCACACACACACACACACACACACACACACACAGAGAGAGAGAGAGAGAGAGAGAGAGACAGAGAGAGAGAGAGAGAGAGAGAGAGAGAGAGAGAGAGCTCCCACACACTGGCAGAAGGCAGACGGAAACTTGGCCAGGATGGTTAGGGAACAGCCTTGGCACTGACGGGAAAGCCCTGAGGAAGAGGTGGGAAGCCAGAGCCCACTGGTCCCTGGATGTACAAACGTTAGCTTCTCTCTTGCTTGCTTACCAGGGTAGTAGCAGGCTGGCTGTTGGATAGGTATAGGGGCCACAGTCTATAGAGGCAGACTGCTGTAGTTGTGGCCAGATTGCCTCTCTCCATGTGCACTTGGCCCAAGGTGAGAGAGAGACACAGAGCAGTTCAGATGGCCACTGCTCCCCAGTATCCCTAAATCCAGGCCAGGACTCCTGTTGGAGCCTGGGGAAGGGGTCCACTATCTGTTCCTTTGGCCTTCTCGTTTAGGAGCCAACTTGGCTCTCACATCACCCTTCTCTTACCCCCCTTCCTTGACAGGTGTGTCTGATTCTCGCCAGGCCATGTGGCTTTCGATTTCTTCTCTCCTTCTGAGCACCAGAAAGTGCCTGCCAGCATGACGTCCTGAACTGTAGCCAGGGCAGAGACAAGATTGTGGAGGCATGCCTATGTGGGAAAGCCCAAGATGACTGGCAGTCTGTGCCATACAACAGAGATGGGGAGGAAGAGAGAGCTTACACTCCTACTGCTATGGCATTCTGGATCTGGTCCCTAGCTGAGGCATAGATGCACTGCTTCATGTTTTGGTAGGGGCCAGGCCAGAGCCCCAGGGGCTCCTTCCATGACCTCCTTCTACCCTCTCCTTCTACCCCCTCCTTCTGTAAATAGGCACAGGGCACTGAGGACTGACACATTTCCTCTTGGCCCCTCCTACAGGCAGCAGCTTGATGGTGGGCAGGCCGAATCCAACCACTCAAGAGGCACCTCCTCTGGCAGCAGCCTTCGGGTGAGAGGCACCAAGAAAAGCTTGGCCCAGTCCTCAAGGAAAGCAGAAAATGAAAGTGCCATGGCCCCAGGAGCTCCAAGGGAACAAGGGCAGTGCAGCGAATGTTCTCCCTTTCTGTTCTCCATGCCCTTGAGTTCACTGCCTCAATTCCGGCAGGCCTCAGCCAAAGAGCAGTCCCTCCTAGAGCTGCCTCCCTGGTTCTCCACTCACTTGGAATCTCTCGTGTGGCTGCGCTTCCTGTGGGCCCATTGCTAAAATCCTGGCCACTGACCACCAAAGCTCAACCTAGGCCTAATGCTGGACCTTGTCTAGGGCAACAGGGTGGTCACCAAATGAGATTTTCTGTTCTTAAGCATATCCGTTCCTAGTAGAAGCCAACAAGAAGCCAGCAACCATCCAGCCACTACCCCACTTCTTGAGGGCCATGCATGATTAAGCACAAATCTTTCAACAAAAGCTCCTCCTTCCACAGCACTTGAACCTCCACCCCTCTACTTATGGGGTCCCAATCCCTTGGCAGTGCCCTTTCAACCTAGATGTGGGCTTTAGAAGAAGGCAAGGTTAGAAGCATGTGGTATCCCTGCTCCCCATCCATGTTGAACAATTCAGCACTGAGTCTGGCTGCACTGAAGAAACTTGGCCCTAGGGAAAAAGCACTGACAAGAGCTACAGCCTCCTAAACCAGAGAGTGGCCCTACCTTCTAAATCCCAGAAATGGTCCATAGAACCTTCTGGAAATGAGCCCTGATCAAGGGCTTCCCAACACAAATATCCAAAAACACACAACAAAACAAAAGGCAAAAGAAGCCCAAGCCCCACTTCCAGCTCATTCTTCCTCGAAGCTGCCTCAGAGACAGAAAGACAGAGAGAACAAAGACACGTGGACGGGCACTTGCGATTAGGACGGTGCCTATGATCAACATGAACGTGGAGCAGATTCTCATCACAGCTTTCTCAAGTTACCACTTGTTTGATTAATGTCCATTTCTATGCTCACTTCTGATAGGGATAAGTGTCGGTTCTCAGCTTTCATGGGCAGAGTTTTCAGGGTCCTGCCTGGTACTGTGTGTTTTTTCACTCTCTTCGCTTTGGATTCACCATGGCAACAGATCTCCAACCCCCTCAATGGAATATCACCCTTGGGCTGTGTGGTGCTCTCATACCTCCCATCCTAGTCAGTCAGCATCCTGGGGGGAGTGGCTGGGTGGCTCCCTGCTTTGAGTCATGGGACACCAGTGGGAAGAATCTGTTTTGGCCATGAGCTGGGAAATCCCTTGGCTTGCTGCTGGTATAGAAACAAGGCCTCAGGCTCCTTGTGGTGGGGACTGTGCTGGAGACAAAAGGGGATCCTAGCATGAGCCTGGAGGTCCCTGGCAGTGCAGCAATGAAACACAAACTGATCTCATTGCTGGGATGCTGGAAGAACTACTGCTTGTTGTTCCCTGTCTCCTCAACCAGCTGTTGTTAAAAGCACCAACAAGCAGAGCGAGGGAGCCACGACTACCATCTCCCCATGTAAGGCTACTCGGAGCGGAGCAGGGAGACAGAGCCAAGGGGAGAGAAGATCCAGCCTCCAGCACCATGCGCCGGGTGCAAGGAGACATCCTGAGGGGAGGAGCTGGGGAAGGAAGCGCGGTGGAAGGAAGGATGGTAGAAGAAAGGGACAGGAAAGAGGAAAAAAGAAATACACCAAACATTCTACTGCCCTCTCCCATGATTTCATCAAGAATTGGGTTTTCTCCAAGTCAAGTCAGGACTTGCTTCCTTGGGGAGAAAAAAAAAAAAAGCACCTTCAGTCTATTTTCTTGGCTGGAAGCCGGAGCAAATCCAGCAGATATTTACACAAGGGCCCAGCCATGTATGAGAACAGGATGACCAGCTTCCCGTGGGTCATGGTCATGAGAGTCTGGTGTCCCGAGGCCCAGATGCGATACCAGGGGCCGTAGAATGGGTCTGAGATGGCCGGACACAGCATGTTGTTCAAATTCACCTCGGTGACCTGCAGGGACAAGGGAGGTAGAGTGAGCGTTCGCCATCCTTAGGCTTTCTCTGGCTTCTGCCAGTTCAGCCAACTCCACCTAACGGGGGAAGAGACAAGGAGGGATTGACCAATCCCCACCTGTTCATAGGGATTTCTCTGCCCTAGGTTTTTCTGAGTGAGTTGAGGCCAGAGTCTTTTGGAAGTGATGGGTGGGCTGTTCAGTGGAAAAACTGGTTTTGCTCAGTCTTGCTTTCCGGTTGAGCCCAGAGCTCTTTGTCATTGCTAAGTGTCTACTACGTACCTAGTCCCTGGAGAGACATTATGGGATAAAAGAGCAGTTAACAGTATGGTCCCTGCCTCCACATACCAGCAATGCATCAAGTGGGGGTGATCGTTTACTGCACCTGACCTCAAACCAGATGGTGTCCACTCAGCTTTTCATGCCACAAGGAGGTCTGAGGAGCAGACCTGAGGTACAGAATGGGGACTGAGCCCTTGGAGAAGACTTCATGAGGGAGGTGGCACATAAATGGACTCATGAAAGATATGAAAGATGGATGGGGGGGTTATGGTGAGCAGTGGAGTGAGTGGAGCCTTCCCTGTGGGAGGCATGGTCACAGCATGGCATGTATGGTGACATAGGCCTACCGACAATTCTGGAATCCAGGATATCAGTGAGGCACAGCGAGAGGTATAGAGGGGTGTGCAAGTCATAATTGTACTGAGTCCTCCCACCGGCACAGGAAGCATTTGCACTATTGGCAAGGAACTCAGACTACCTCTGGCCAACCAGAGCAGAGCTGTTGACCAGGGTGAGGAAAAGAAAGTGACTGCTTCCACAAAGGTGCTGGGGACATCAGTTAAATGCCCTAGTGATGCAAGGTCACGCAAGGCTCCACATGGCTGATGCTACATTAATGCCATCCACACAAAAACAGACATGCCACTCTTGCCCCAGGGATGGCCACGATACCTGCTTCCCAAAGCCCTTCAAGCCTATTCGTATTAAAGACAAGTCTTCACCCCTTGGGGAAGCTGGGCTTTTATACCATGTTACAGTAAGGTTGAAAACTGCCCTTCAGAGGCAGCTGACCCACTCAGAGCAATGGCAGAGCCAGGACTTGAACTTGGGTCTCCTGACCCCCAACCCCAGCCCTTAGCTCTTCCTACTCACTTTGCCACTGATGTACACCCTTGCAATATCGGCGGATTTGGGCTCTGGATAACTCAACTACTGAGTCCAACCATTCCCCATGCTCAAGGCAGTTCTGAACACCACAGAATGCCACAGGGGTTCCCAATACCACACTTCTACTGGCCACACAGCTCACTGCAGGACCTGCAAAATTGACCTGACAGCAGGCCCAGAATGGACTCAAGGTGAGAGGTCTCCCCTAAGTCCACAGCCAGGGTTAAGGTCCTGCCTCCCCATGAAGTCCACGCAAACCACTGCCCAGTTGCAGCTCACTGTTTCAGACCCAAGTGGCCATGACTGAAGGGCATCCTTGCCTCCTCAGGGATGAAAGAACAGCCATTGCTGAAGGATTCAGAACACTCTGGAGAGCCCAAGGCTGTGGATCATAAATCAGCATCCCAGACACAACAATCTGACACCCTGGCCTTTAGTATCTTGTATTTTCAAAACAAAATGATACTCCAGCGCCAACCAGGATTATCAAGATTTATGGAGAACTCCAAACAGAGGGGAAAGAAGGGGCTGTAACCAAACTTACCAAGCCGATGATCTGCAGGATGCTGAAGTGGTAAAAGAACATGATGCCAGTTGAAAGAAGAGCCCATCGGAAACTGCTAAGGGGCTCTGGGGTGTATGCACCTGGAAGAAGACAGGAGATGGTGAGACAGGAGGAACGGTGACCCACTTCTCCTTTGCCCACATGGGTGCAAGTGCTGAGGTCACGGCTGCAGCCTGTTCATTGCCTCTTGTCACTCATCAGTGACAGCTACTTGTCAGAGAGCCTTGCTGCTTAGCTAGGTATGCATGGTAGCCCTTTCCTGACCCCTGTTCTGCACTCAATGCTGGGCCAAGAGAGGAGTTTTGTTTTTTATCATAAAAGATACATGCCCACTAAAGGTAATTTAGAATGTTAAAGAGCAGAAAAAAAAAGAGAGGAAAAGAAGAAAAACATCCGCTGCACAGCACTCTACTACTATAGGGTACAGCCCTTCCTAACACATGGGTGTGCTTCTTTGGTTGTTTGTCTTTATGTCTCGGAATTTTCCTTTCTTTCTTTTTTAAATTAATACTTGGAATCTTACTGTATATATAATTGTATAGTCTTCATTTCTACATTTACTTCCTCGTGGTTCTAAGGAGAAGTGACGTTGAGGAAGTATGACATGGTGGTTGAGAATCTTACCTTTGAAGTAAGACAGATTTGGGTTCAAAGTTTGACTCTACCACTTGCTGGCTATATAAATAAGCCTGGAAAAGTTGTTCAAACTCCCTAAATCTCAGTTCACTTGCCTTTAAAATGGGGATAGCAGTACCACCAGGGCCTGGCACAGTAGGAGTGGTTGATGAGTGAGGCTCTCTTTATAACCTTTAAATCTCCAAGAAGTGAACAACGTAAGATCCAACAGTGTGCTATTTTCCAACTACTGAACAACTCCTTCCCCCAGGAACACCATTGGGAACCACCATCTCAGTAGGCCTGCAGAGCAGGGCCAAGGTTTATGGGATGCTGCAGGTATCACTGTGAATAGGGACTTGAAATGAGTATTTGACAGTGAAAGGGACCTGGAACCACCCTATCCCAAGGAAGAAGGGATGACATGATATCATAGATTAGTATCTTCCCAGGTCAGTGTGTCTTTGATTTACCCATGCATATTACAGTTGTTAGGTACCTTGTATATTCTAGGAAGATAAATTCCCTGTTGTCTAGACGCATAGCCAACAAATACAACATGGTGGGGCTGGGAAATGACTGAGCTCTGTGGTGCCTGTTACAGGAAGACAAAACTCAGGTCGGTGGTGGAGACAGGCAAGGGATGCTCATTGGTAGAGAGAACACTGGAGCAGAGTTCTGAAGGACAAATGGAACTTCTGGAGGGGCCTACACCTTCCGAGGCAGCAGCCTGCACAGAGGCAGACATAAGTGAGGTAATTCAGAGAAATACAAGTACGAGTTCAGTGGGGCAACAGGGGAGAGTGTAATGGGGCCAATGAGCAGGGGTAAGACTCAGAGGTGGGCAGGGCTTGCCTGCCCCAGATATAATCCCTGAGGAGCCATGTTAAGGGCTTTGGGCTTAGTGCACTGCAGGCAGGTCATGAGCTCAAATGCCTCAAGTCTCAACTGGTAATGGAAAACAGGGGCAGGACCAGGGTCTAAGAGATACTAGTGTGTGCTAGAGACTAGCAAATGAGAAAGCTCACACCCCTGATTATAAAGAGAGCAACCACTACTACTCAGCTCCATTAATCATTGCCCTGCAAGGATATAGGCCAAGTGGTGCCTGTTTTGTTGTCGTCGAGCTTTACTTTGCTATTTGGCAAAAGAAGCCAGAAATATGAACCTTTATGTGGAATTTCCTGATTTTTAAATGTTGGCAACAAATTCCAAATGTTTTAAGAATGCTCAACAGACCAAACAAAACATGTTTTCTGGATGGATTTCAACCCTTGGGTGGCCAGCTTTGAGCTCTGCTGTAGAGTCACTGAAGGCAGCAAGAGGATTGAGCAGGCGAGCACTGGGCTCACACATGTGCTTGTGGCAAGATTGCCCTGATCAATGTGCAAGGGGATGGCTGGAGGCAGAGAGATGTCAAGGCAGGGTGCTGGCAAGAAGATGGCTGCAGGAACTTGAAGAGAACAGGATGGCTTCTGAAGGCAAGAGCAGTGGGGCCTGAGAAGGAAGAGAGGAGAAAATCACCAAGGCATGGTGCAAGACTGGAACAGAGGAATTATAGAGACTCCTGGGGCTCTAGCTTGGCCCTCACTGGGTTGCCTATGCCATTTATGATGGTGGAGAAGAGAAATAAAGACAGATAGGAGTAGAAGATAAGAAAATGATGAGGTCCATTTTAGACATGTTGAAATGGAGGCATTTGTGTCTGTAGAATATTCGTGTGGAAACGTCTCTTTGGTGGCTGGATGTATTCTAGGACATAGAATGTGTTGAGTCACACTGTGGATACTGGAACCCAGCAGGTAGAAGTTTTGAAATCCTGGCTCCATCACCTATTAACTCCAGGGCCTTGGGCAAATCGCAATATCTCTTAAATACAGTTTTACTCACCTGCAAAATGGAACAGCACTGCCTAATTCGCAGGATGGTTGGTTGGATAAGATAATATATCATAGTATAGTACTGTATCTGGGATTTAACAAATGCTGATTATAGTCAGTAAAGGGGATGAGGTGTACCTTCAGATGTAAGTGATATCAGCACAAAGTGGTAAACCAAGTCACAGGAACATATTTACACTGAGAGAGGAAGAAAGCTAGAGGCAGAATACCAAGGAACACAGTGTAAATAGCGAGAGTAGACAGGAGAAGAGGAATGAGATGGGGTGACTGAAGCCAGGGGGGTCTTCTATGGGAGCTCAGCCTTGCTCTAGGAACAAGAGGCAAGCTCACAGAACATCTGAGTCAGAATGTGCTCTGAGGACATAGATCACATCTCTCCATTTTATTCATGGAGAAACTGAGGATGAGAGAGGAGCAGTGTCACAGCCAAAGCTGTGAAAGCAGAGTTCTGGAGAAATGGACTCTAAGACACCGTTAAGGGAATTACTGCTCAACGCTCCTGTTGCCACTTGAGCAGATCTGTAAGTTGAATTGTCTCTTTCCTTGTCTGCCTGCTCTCTAGCACAGAGCTTGGTTTGTGAAAATGCATTGAGCAATACACTTAGGGTGTGTGCACTTGCCTGCCTGCTGAGTGAGTGTGACCTGAGCACTCTGTTGTCACCCTGGCTCCTGGGACACACAGGGGAAGAGAGGGCCTGGAAGGCTGACAGGAGCTCAGGCTGCCACACATCCCACTGCTAGAGTCGAAGCTGTGTTCCCCAAGTGTCCCTTCCTTCCCTCCAGCCTCTGCTGGACTCCCCCTAGTGGCAGCTGGCTAGCAGTGACAGGCCTGGTGGCCAGGTGGTGGCTTCAGGAAAGGACCTGAGGGTCTGCTGTGGGGATGGTGTCCTCAGCTAGGAGGCAGCTAGCTAAGGCAGCCATAATTCTGGGGAGGGTGGGGGAGCATTCGAGTGCAGGGCAGCCTGCGCCTCACTGTGCTCCTCCCTGCAGCCCCTGACCCTGTCATGCTCCATGCCAAGGGAAAAAGAACACTTAGATACTACCAGGAGACATCAGCACTCTCACTGTCCCTTGCCCAAAGCCCATGTTTGCTCCATCCTTTCTGTGTTGCTTCATCAGCCACACATGGGACTGAAAGCTTGCTGAGAGAGGAGCTCTTTCTGAATCTCCTCTTCAACTCCAGCACCTGGTATACAGTAATCACTCAAAAACAATCTATGTGTTTTTCGGTAAATAAATGGCACAGACTTCTGGGATAAAAGTATAACCATTTGGCCCAATTATTTTGATGACTACCACCCAATATCTTTAAAAATAATAAATCACTCTTATTTGCACAAAGATATGTATATCTGTGCTATCTATAATATTGAGAAGCTGGAAACAAACCAAATGGGGAGATAAGTTAAGTAAATTATGGTACCTCGGTATTGTGCAATAGTTCTCTGCCATTCAAATGACAACCAAACTATGTATGTGTGTAAAGAATTCAGTCCCCAGCTAGTGGTAGCAAGTGTAAACTGCTTCAGGATATGATGCAGTATGGAGATGAAAGAAAATACAACTTAGTGGCTTAACAATAAAGGCCTAGGGGTCCAACAGCCTTGGCCTTGGGTTCTCGCTCTGCCACTACCTACAGGAAGAACCTTGGACAAATCATGCTGCCTCTCTAAACCCATTTTCCTGCATGTAGACTGGAGGTAGCATCCACCTTTCAGGGCTGAGGAGTGGAATAAGAGAGATGTAAAAAAGCAGAGATGGCAGCTCGTCTGGCGTTGAGATGGCAGCTGCTATTTTTTTTTTAATCATGGTAACCATAGCCATCTAAAATCTTACCAAGATGGGAAGAGGAGGGGGAAAATGGGGAAGAGGTTTCCTTCTCAATGAAGGGGGACTTTGATTATGGCTTCCACTGCCCTGTCACTGGTGCTGGTTCTTTTCATTGCAAGCATGATCAAATATTCAATTTCTTTGAAAAGCAAAAATGGAAAGCAAGCACCCTGAATACAGATAACCCCTTAGATGTGGATGTATACAAATTGTATGCAAACCCAGATCATTCTCTTTGCTAGATACCTGAATGTAGCCCTTGGGAGAATCCTAGTGAAAAACCAGTTTCCTTCTAAAGGAAAATAGAAATTTAAGCACTTGCAGAAAAATTAAACACATAAAACTTTTTGTTCCACTTTAAGAAAAAAATGTGACATTTTCTGCTAGCATCTTCTATCCCAGGAAAATAGAATCACATCATCTCTAAAGGTAGGGGGAAACCAAGATAATAGCTTTCTCTAAAATCAATTTCTCCCAGAAATCAATGAGGAATGCCAGAAAACAAGGCTATCCTACCAGTAGCAGCAAAGATCACTCTCCAGAGGTTTCCCAAGGGACCTTGTTCCCATCCTATACTCCAACCCAGGAAGGTTTACACCAAGGACATGAGACTCTGCCATGCGGCATCCAATTCTCCCCTTTTCTTCCTGCTTCCTTTGACTCATTCACTTACTCATGCCACCCACTCATTCAACATCTACGATGGTTGTCAGACCATGGGAGGCCATGGGGAT